TGAAGGCGAGAGAGGAAGTGGAGATGGGTGGAAGACAGTCACTAAACAAATGGAGATGTTGATAGTGTTCAGGCCTGCACTACATTAGAGACAGACCTGATTGGAAATCACTGCATGACCTCACAAACACTTCTGAAAAGTGTTGGCAGGTGATACAGCTCTTTGTTGCATTCACACATGCTACCATACAAGGAACAAACAAAGAAGCAGGATACAGAAACACTGCTTCCTTACTGAAAACTAATCTGTGGTCTTACTACTTATCCTCCGGGCTAAAGAGGATGTCTGATCTCATCAAGACAGCAGCCTCAATAGCTTTTTTTTTGTTTTTTATTTTTTTAAGCCCTTATAGTCCCACTCGTGGGAAATTTTGTAGTCCTCTGCATTTAACCCATTCACTCAGTGAAGCAGTGGGCAGCTACCAATCCAGTGCCTGGGGAGCAGTGTGAAGTGACAGTACGTTGCTCAAGGATACCTCAGGGTGGCCGTTCAGTGGATTCGAACCCCCAACTTTCGGATCATGGGGTGAACACTCTACCTACTGAGCTATTGCTGTCTTGATTACATTGAGACAGCAGCCTTGATAATACGTTTAATAACACAGGATTATACATTAATATGCATTGTATAGGTAAGTTCTACACGTGAGAAGGCCCCATTGATGCTGAACTCTGTGTACAGGTTTAGGAGCACTGCTGCTGGTGAAGGCAGAGGAAACGGAGGTTCACTGAACTGATCTCAAAATGAGGAGTAATGATGAGTTTTAAAGAAAAGTTTAATTTTCAAGTGCAGCTGGTTTATTGGCAGAAGGCTCTGCTCTTTGGTTCAGGTGCACTACATGGCATTATGTGCATTACATGGTAACATGTTGTAAGTCAGCTGTATGTTGTAGTATGCATTCTTTTTGATTATTTTATTGCAATACAATAATCAATTTTGGAGTCAGATTTGTAACATAATTTAGTATCAGTTAAATAAAAATCTGAATTTATTGCTCTATGCTCAGAGCAATTATTACAACTACAATAACAGTAGTTTTGCTACTAAGCTCAAGTGTTTTTTAACATGATCTGTTTTCTCTGTATGGAAGAGGATTAGGGCTACTAGAATTTACAAAATTTACAAAAATAAATAAATAAATCCAAATTAACCCTATATTTTCCCCCCAATGGCTCTAACCTTCTTTTACTTTTGAGTAATAAAAGTGATTTCAGTAGTGTCCTCTATGATGACAGCTAGGGTTAGAATAAAAACAGGAAGTTGCATCAGCATTTAATGTCTTTTCCACAAATCCAGAAGACTTAAGGCAACAGAACAGTATATAATTCAATAACTGCCGACCGACTTTTTTTCTTTTTAGATGTGATACAATTGGTATCAGTGGAGACAGGAAGGTATATTATGTCATGTAATGCAGCGGTCCCCAATCTTTTTTGCGCCACGGACCGGTTTATGCCCGACAATATTTTCATGGACCGGCCTTTAAGGTGTTGCGGATAAATACAACAAAATAAAACTAGTACCGGTACCGAAAAAAAGACCCGGAAAACCGAGTTAACGATAAAAACGATGACAAAATAACGCTGAAAACCGATAAAAACCCTGAAAACCATATATTTCAGACCTGAGCCTCAACTCTCGCGGCCCGGTACCAAACGACTCACGGACCGGTACCGGTCCGAGGCCCGGGGGTTGGGGACCGCTGATGTAATGTAGTGTAATGTAAGTAACCTTAGTGTCAGGACAACAGCAAAAACCATAAAGGAGCTGGAACAACTGGTTGCATCCTTACTACGTATTTACAGTTTTTCATTGATTTTTATAACAATAAACGCTCAAAACAAATACTGACGAACACTCACATTTCATCCAGTCCGCTCTTCAGTCCTCTCGGTTTAAAGCTGAGCTCCTCTATCAGTTTAATGTGGCGGTTTTGGAGAGGAGTAAACGAAAGAAGCTCTTGCTGCTTTTTTCTATCAATGACTGCAGAAAAGATGAACCACCTGGCTGCACTTGTTCCGACTGTACAAAAATGAAGTCAAACAAATTTCCCGCCTGTAGGAGTGTCACACTTTTGGAGAGGGATTACGCAGTAGTTACTTGAGCTGACGTGGCAGTGTAACACTGAAACCCGCAAAAAAGACACCGCCCACTTATAATTTCATTGGTTAAAACAGAGGTTCCCAAAGTGTGGGGCGCGCCCACTAGGGTGAGCGCAGAGCCAATGCAGGGGGGCACGCTATAAATTAAAAGAAAGAAAAAGAAAAAGGAATGCTTGGACACTGCTCGTATAATGGACACGTTTTTGACGGGGCTCCTACACAAACGCAAAGCAGAAGATGAAGCATCGCCAAATGTGTTTCCAAACAAACTTCCTTCCAAGTCGAAGATTAGAAAATATGATGAAGCAAATCAAAGGGGTTATCAAACCCCATGCACACACACATTGTATGTGTGCATGTACATATATATTTCGACAAACAAGTGTATATAATATTCTGCCTGTATATGGATGTCTTACAATGTTTTTTTATCTTATCTATTTGAATTCTTTTTATTTGATTATATTATCCCTCTGTTCAGCACTTTGACAGACACTTGATGTCTTTTAAATGTGCTATATAAATAAAGCTGACTTGACTTGATTTGCTTAAAAAATAAGACCAATTGTATTGCATCTGTATTTTTATATTCTTTCACTGTAGAGAAAACCAAGCACAGAAAGACGATCTATTCCTGACAATCTATTCCCTGAAACACTAACCTCCCTCAAGACCTACTCACAGTGTGCACTTTGCTTTTCTAAAAGTTGAAAGACAAGGAGTATCTCTCAATCAGGGAATCGAACCTTGGTCTTGTGCATGAGAGACAGAGACAGTCAATACTATAATAGTGGGGAAAAAGAGAGTGCAGTAACCATGTTAACCAGGAGACAAAGTGAAACACTTTCTCTGTTTCATCTTTTGGATACTTCCAGATTTACATACAAGCTTCTGTGTTTGAGATTTGACCAGGAACACTGCCACAATGTGGCCAGAGGGGGTGTTACATATGTACTGAAAAGAATTACCATTGGTAACTGCAAAAATCAGAAGGAAAGTAGGATCTTACTGAGCCCTGCAAGGGACATTGGAGAAAAAAAATGAAAATGAACTGTTGCGAGATCTCACAAAGTTTT